CCTGAACTGCAAACACACGACCGCGTGATACGCCGTCTGCGGGGCTTTCTGCAGACCGCACGTAGGCAAAGAATGCCTGTATTCCGCAAGAGTCCAAAAACCCATGTATCCGTCGCAGCCTCCACGTCATGGCGTGTGTTTTCGAGCTGCCTTTATTCGCAGCGAATTATTGCCCATCCAAACGTCCATGGTGGATGGCAGGATGGCGGGAAAGGCCGATAAGGCTAAGCGTACCGCGCGTGCCTCGGCCTGCATGATAAGAAAAGGCTTCCTCTCCTATTTTCATCCGGCAATTCCAACGTCGCCGGAGTCTGAAATAAAAAAGGCGCCCCATCCCTGGAGCGATGCATCCGCGATGATGGCGGCTGATGACTTTTCGGCGGGCTCGATGATTCGCTCACGATCATCTTCTCGATCATATGCCGTAATCTCTCGCCCAAACCAACCGCTGCCGGCGGAAGGTTCGCCGGGGATGTCTCCAGCGCAATCCCCCGGTTAACTGCGGATAATCGGCGTCGCGCTGCCTCGATGAAAGCGTGGTGGGCGCATAAACGCGTGCCAAGAGTGGCCGCCGCATATAAAAAGCGTGACGCCGTAACCTCCATTTCCGCGATGGTTAAAGAATTAAGCGCCGGCATGGCGCGTACAGACCGGACAAACTTTTCACTCAGGGACACCGCCTGGTAAGTGTGATCGAACTGCGCCCCCAGAAAGGTGTACTGAGTAGTACCCGATTCGCGGTCCTCCCCCATCGTGGCGCGACGGCCGTCCGCATTACGAAGCACTTGGGCTTCCCATAATGTCGCGTCGCTTTTCGACCCTGCAATGCGTATATTATCAACCCGAACGTCGACACGCACCAATGGAGGTGCAGCCCAGAGGCGGTGAACTACCGTCGTCACCGCCGCAATTGCCGAAGCAATAATCTGGAGAATTGCTGGGCCGGCCTTGTGTCCCATTTGGAGCCGTGTGAGCTCCACCAGCGTGCCGTCCTCCACGCGGCATCGGAAGAGATGCCGAGTCTCCCGCGGTAAAGCGACTTTAGAAAAGGACGCCTTCACATCCAGGCAGGAAGCGGTCTCAGCTATCACAGGTGGCAAATAATGGGAAATGCGTAAAAGAGGAAAATTCGCCTCAGAAGGATCGTCTCTGTTCTTGTCGCGTGGCCACGCGATCCATCTTCGTCGCGAACCGGTGGCTTTCTCCTCCACAACTGAGAAAGGTACTATCCATCCGCCTGTTATTGTGGACGAAGCGTCCTCGATTATTCCCGCTTTTCGTAACGAACGCGCGTCATAGACTGGAATCCTCCGTGAGCCTTCGCGCGCTTTACCGGAGGAAGACGGAGGGAAGGGGGACCGCCCGACGAGTCCCCAAACTTGCATAAGTCTCTCCAAGGTAGCCGGGTTCAACCGGCTCATGATCCACTCTAGATTCAATACGGGCACGTTGGCTTGCTGCGGCTGGATGGTTCGTTCATCTTTTGGGGTGGCCAGACGCGTCCTTGTCGCGCCCCTCGTTGTTGTAGCAACACGACGCTTAAAATCATGAAAAAAAACGCTACTCTGCTTTCGACCAGAATTACTGCCCTTCCGCGGCTTCCCCCTTCACGTCAATGCGACCAGCGAAAAAGCCCGGGTCAGCATTGTGGTGTGCTCCCCAAAATATCGAACAGTATTCTGGGGAAGGTCGAACGGGTCGACGTGCTTCGCCAACTGCGAGATCACGTGTGGGTCCAAATTGTATGTCCCCACGATTTTAGTACCGTACCGGAGTGCGTCGCGTTTTATAGAACGCGCCGTGGCATTCCAAGGAGCCAGAGCTTGTTCGACTTTTGCGGTCGTAAGATTCGTGAGCTTTTCTTTTTCTTGAGGTGTCCTGCATAGCTTTATAATGTCGAAGGCACCCTTCCCTCGTATTCCGGCAAACCGCGAGGCGCGGTGGGGATGCGCCCCGCCGTCTTCGGCGCCACGGACCGATCCAAAATTACGGTCCCGTCCGGCTCCAGTGTGAAACTGTTGGGTGTCAAGGACGCAATCTCAAACAAACGACTCGCCGTTATCCACACAAGTCGTAAGACAACACTTTCTTTCCAATCGGTCCGGCTGCGGATAACTTGATCCATCCCTTCCTCTGTCAAGGGGCGCGCCTGCTTCGTCTCAGATCGCGCCGCGATTTTTGTAGCCCCGAAACCGTCATACTCGGCAGGGTCACATACATTTGAAACATGGACCGCAGCATCCTGGCGTGCTGCAGTCGGGTCGATGGCGCCGCCTCGATTGCCATCAAAAAGGCTGCACAGCTCTCCTCGCTGTTCGGCTGTTCGTGCGTGCGGCTTAAAGGTTGTAAACCGCCCTGCCGGGGGCATTCTCTGCTCCCACGTTGACGGCGCCCACATCTCTCGAGACACCTCGTTGGCTTTCCTCATACAACTGGCCCAAAGCAGGGCTGTCGGCGATTCGTCGTACCACAGTCGAGCGTCGTTGGCAAATAAGCCCGTTTCCCTTCTCGACGATTGCGTCGGGCGATTTGAAAGATCGGGTGGAGCGTCGGCGGTGCGGTGCGCTGCCTGTGAGGATTGGTGGGAGGTGGCGGATTGGATGGGGCTGCCTTCGCATAGGTGCCCGTCTGGTGAACAGCGGTGTAAAGACGGGCGCGCAGTTTGGAAAGCCGGATGCCGGGATCGGATGCGATCGTGAGCTGCATCCGGAATGTATTCATTAGGGGCCTCCTCAAATTCATGAAGCGATCGGTGCGATCCTGCCCGCCTTCCAGCACGCCGATCCACTCGAACAAATTGTCAAAGGCAAGGTTAACCTTCTCTTCGTCCTCCTGTTGCCAGCATTGGTATGCGCACCGGAGGTCGCAAACGACTCCGGAAGCTCCCTCATTCCATATACGCGTGGGCCACGTGGTGACGTCGAATGCGCAGAAACCGCGGTCCTCTTCCATGGGTGATTGGGCTTCAAGGGGAGAAGTGCGGGAAGGCAACGGCGTGGAAGGGTGGAAATGTGGTCTCCCAACATTGCCGTGAGGGCGTCTGTGAGCCGCCGAACTGTGTCGGACCGCGCTGCTAGGCACGCCTCCAGCCATCAAGACATCCGTTCGATGCGGTAGTGTAGATACGCCATCGTTGGCAACGTGTCGAGTAGCGGGGGCCTCGTCCCGCCCCGCCGTCTCCGCCTCCCGCGCGGGTTGTTGTGCATTATGGCGTGCCTCCCGTTCCTGGAATTGAGCGGTGAGCCTTCCCAAGTTGAATTCGCGCTCCCGTAATTGGGCGTGAGCGGCCTCCAACTCCTGTTGTAGTTCTGGGACCTGGTTGCCGGCCCCGGCGATATTGGATTCCCTCACCGATAGGTTAACACGCGCCTCCTCAACCTGCGAGTTAAGCTGAGCATTCCGATTCTGCACGTCCGCGACTGCGTTAGCGTAATCAATATTCAGGCGCCCCTTTCAGCAGTGATGAGCCCTTGTTGGTGCCCCAACTCCCGGGCTGTCCCCATAGCGGGCAGGAGCGCTTGTGTCTCAAAATTAGGGATCCGAGGCGCCCGTAGATTCGCAATATTTCCAATAAGAGTGGAATCCTGTCATGCATTAGAGATAGGTCCATGGAACAAGCATAAGCCTGTCGATGATGCGGCCACAGTTAACGTCCCGTCCGAAATATGATTACCATTAGTGAACGTCATCTGCACCTGGGTCTCGCCACATTGGCACACCATGTCCCAGAGACGGGCACCAATACCACACCACTCGGAGACTGTGCATGGAACCAAAGCCATTTCCTTAAACTTACCTGGCAGTGTGTCTGTAAAAAATAAAAACAAATATTATCTGGCCTCTATCGCTTCCCTGCCCCTACAAAGTCGTGTTCTTCCCAAAAGATTCATACGGCAGAAAAGTATCATAAAGAACGCCTTCATTTATCAGGATATACATACATTAATTAAGTTAGCAAGATCTCCCGCGATCATTCTTTTCACAAGCTCGTAAAAAAATATGTTAAACTAAAGGAGATTCGACGTTTTTTTTTCTTTTACTTCTTACCACGATTGCTCAACGGACCAGTAAAGCCCATCCCCCACACTCAAAAAAACAAAAAACACAAAAAAGCCGCAGTGTTAGACAGTACTCCCATCCACACATACGCATACCCCGCCCTACCGCAGATAAAATTAACCAGTTAAATGATTTCATTAAATAAATAGATGATGGAAAACACTAATTACGCCTTGGATGCGTCGTGTTGCCTGACGCCGGTCGCGGAATGAACCCTCTGCGGCTAAACGGCCGCGTGACGCTGGCAGAACGCCTTGATGCGCTCAACAGCCTCACGGTATACCTCAACGGGCCGCGTCGTCGTTAACCGCGTGAAGCCTGGTGAATTGAAGATGGTTCCAGGCAGCACCTGCACGTTTTCCTCCTCGAGCAGCTTCTCGAAGAACTCCACGTCGGTCTTGACGTCTCTGTACTTCTCCAAATCAATCTTCGACATCAAGTACATCGCTCCCCGCGGCATCGCCGGAAGCAGGCCGACACACTCACCAATGTGATTGTACAGGTACATGGCGCTTTCCTCGATTTTGCAACGATCTGATCAGGTGCTCCTGC